GGTCCAGAGGATTCAAGACCATCCCTGGCTAACACCGTGAAACCCCGTCTCTACTAAAAACACACAAAAAAAAACTAGCAAGGCGAGTGGTGGCGCCTGTAGTCCGGCTACTCGGAGGCTGAGGCAGGAGAATGGCGTAAAAACCCGGGAAGGCGAGCTTGCAGTGAGCTGAGATCCGCCACTGTCTCCACCCCTGGGTGACACAGCGAGACTCCGTCTCAAAAAAAAAAAAAAAAAAAAAAAAAAAAAAAAAAAAAAAAAAAATACAAAAAAAAAACTAGCCGGCGAGGTGGCGAGCGCCTGTAGTTCCCAGCTACTCGGAGCTGAGCCAGGAGAATGGCGTTAAACCCGGGAGGCGGGGCTTGCACGTGAGCAGAGATCCGGCCACTGCACTCCAGCCTGGCGACAGAGCAAGGACTCCGTCTCAAAAAAAAAAAAAAAAAAAAAAAAAAAGACGGGAGTCTGCTCTGGTGCCCTGGGCTGGAGTGCAGGGATGCAATCTCAACCACTGTAACCTCCGCTCCTGGGTTCAAGTGATTCTCCTGCCTCAGCCTCCCGAGTGGCTGAGATTACAGGTGTGTGCCCCACGCCCGACTATTTTTGTACTTTTAGTAGAGATGGGGTTTTGCATGAGTTAGCCACACTGGTCTTGATCGAACTCCTGACCTTGGCTGATCTGCCCGCCTCAGCCTCACAGAAGTTTGTAAGGATTATAGGCCATGAGCCCTGCGATAGCTGGGATTGCAGATGCCCGCCACCACGCCTGGCTAATTTTTATATTTTAGTAGAGACAGGGTTTTGCCAGGTTGGCCAGGCTGGTCTCAAACTCCTGACCTCAAGTGATCCAACCCACCTTGGCCTTCCAAAGTGCTGAGATTAAAGGCATGAGCCACCGCACCCAGCCCACCCACACAAGTTTGTGAAGAGCCAAGGAATACATGGCAAGGTCTTGGACTGCCCAGCTAGGCTCTCACACAGCAGTGTGTCATGAATATTCATGAGTGAATAGAAATTCCTTCTGCTAGATCCCTGCAGGCTCCTCCTCCAGAGGCCCCAGGGCCCTGTCTGTCCCCAGATCTCCATCTAGTGGCCCAGAGAATGCTGCACTTCCCCACCACCCACAGGACCAATCACAGCTGTACTAGCTCTCAGTGAGGTCTGCTCTGAGCTAGATCTCACACAGACTCCGGTGTCCAAGTAGAACTCAGTCCCTAGGACAGACAAGGCAGTCAGGGATTGAATGTAGCACTGAGGGAGGGGTATGTTGGGGTGGTTCAGGGAGGGTACTGCCAGCCAGTTCTCACCCACCGTCTTGCGCCCATTCTGCCTCCAGGCCTATGCCCTGGTGCCCCCCACTCTTCCCTGGGCTGTGCCCTGTGGTCGTCACAGGGCCACCCTTCTTTATCCAGGGCTCCGCTGAGGGCCATCCTACTGACTCCTTGACCCCGGGACTGCACATTCCCTTACCCAGTTTTCCTCACAGTCTTGGCACCAGGGTTATAGTGGTGGCTGAGAGGCAGGACTGACCTCAGGCCAGTAACCTCTGACTTAGAAGTTCCATCCCACCCAGGGATGTTGCAGAGAACTGGGAAAGTGAGTGGAACTTGAGCCTAAGCATCTGGAGAGTCAGGAGAGCATTTGGGGGTGAGGGGCTCCAGGCACTGCCTAGGACAGACCCTTGATCCAGGCACCTCCTTGTGGCCCACATGTCTGGACTCCTCTCTCCTCAGAAACCCAAGGACTTGGACTTCGCCCAGCAGAAGCTGACCGATAAGAACCTGGGCTTCCAGATGCTGCAGAAGATGGGCTGGAAGGAGGGCCATGGCCTGGGCTCCCTCGGAAAGGGCATCCGGGAGCCGGTCAGCGTGTACGCAGCAGGCAGCCTGGGGTGGGAGTGGGTGGGGCCTCAGTCCTTCCACCTGCAGCCTGACCTTGGCTCCCTCACGCCCAAGGTGACTTACAGCTGGCAATTGATTTTTGTTTTTTAAACAAAAGGCATCTTCAGATGAGAAGCTGATCATTTACATATGCAGGTGTTTACAGGGCTCCTTTCTGTCCTGCTGTAGATTTTTTAACCAGCTTGTTGGCCCTGGTCATTTTGTCCTCATTTGTTATCATCGTAAAAGCTAAGTGGTATTTCTGTGTAGTTTTGGCCTGGAACCACTTTCCCATTCCCGGGAACCCATAGCCGGGCCAGCCAGGGTCCTGAACACAGGCCCAAAGTTTATTAAACCCCAATCGTAACATCCAGCAGGCATTTCATTTAATACTGAGCTTAGTGCCTGCTGGGTAAGGCATTCCAAGGTAACCAGGGCCCTCTGGGCACCCCCTCAAAAGCCAGCTCTTCTTCGAGGGTGAGTACTCCTTGTTTCCACTGTGAGTCGTGTCTTGATTTTCCCTCTCTTTGATGTCTCAGTGTGTGTCCCAAACACCTGCATCTCATGGACTGTTTGTGCCCATGCCCAGTTCCTGGCATGCCAGGCCCTGGGCTCAGGTGCACAACTGACTCTCTTTTTCACTCCTTAGGGGAACCCCCTCAGAAGGGGAAGGGTTGGGTGCTGACGGGCAGGAGCACAAAGAAGACACATTCGATGTGTTCCGGCAGAGGATGATGCAGATGTACAGACACAAGCGGGCCAACAAATAGGTATGTTTACGGGACAGTGCATAAGGCCCTCCGCCCTCACCGGCGTGCTGGTATGCAGAGAAATTCCCCCAACAAAGTTGATATTCCCTGTTCCCCCAAAAATGCCACACACAAAAAAATCACAAAATTCTGTGAGGGAAACAAAAGGGTCTCTGGATGCGGATATGCCCCATTCTTACATTCCAGGTTTGCTGAAGGAGCAAACCTCATGTTGGCCAAGGGCAGCTGCACGTGGCCTGCCTGGTGCCCTGGTTGTGAGCCCCTCGAAGCCTCTAGGCCAGGCTCCGTGGATGTGCGCGTGGAAATAGGCCACGCCTGTCTCTTCTCTTGCTCAAGTTTTCTCTCACAGATGAGGGCCACCTACCACATAACATGACCAGCAAACGGATTGTTTAGTCCAGAGGGCCTTGCCATCATGCAAGTGGAAGGCCGACTGTGACAGCCACCGCCACAGAGGATGGCAGTTAGCTGTGTCCCTTTGTGAGGGTCTTCAAATCCTTTTCCTTCTGCAGGGCCTCGGGCCTGTAAATATCCTCATCTTTCTACTTTTTTTTTTTTTTTAGTTGTCCCTCTCACCTAATTTCCAACTCAGTTTTGAACAAAATCGTTCTCTTCCTGAATAGATCAAAACCACTGATGAGAAAGATAAGCCTTGAAGCAGCAATTGCTCTTAAAACATCATCCCTGCCCTGGATCGGCCTGGAGCCAGTGCCCAAGTACGGTTTGGTGTGTACATGAAAACAAACGTCTCTGCAGTCTCTGGGGCGGAGGTTTCGCTGGCTTTTCTTTCTCTCAAAGAAAAAACATGCACCATTTTCAATGTGCTTTTGCCTCTCCTCTCTGTTCACATGCTTTTAGCAGCAAGTCCCCTCCAAATCTGTCTTGGTTCCCCTTCAGAAGGTGGCGCTGCCCCCGAAAGGCACCTCAGCCTGTGAGTGCTGAGGAACCAGCTCCTCTGGCTGGTTTTCCAGTCGGACTGGCCATTGCTCTCCAGAAGTGCTCTGTTAGCAAACGTGATGTGGAAACGATCACAGATGGTGTTTTCTCGTTGTTCTCCAGAATTTATACGGGGGAGACAAATCGGTAATTACCAAGTCTGCGCTCGGGTACCAAAGCTCTGAAGCTCTCTGAACAGTTGCCATACTTGAGTTGATGAATGTGTTATTCATGATGTCTCATCTCTTCAGTGCATCTTGAGAGACTTAATAAAATTTTAGCAACAGTACAGAATAGCTCTATCAGGTGGGGAGTAATCACTAAACAGATTAAATCGGCCCCAGATTTACATGTCTCTTTAGAATCCACAGTGTAAGCAAACTACAGTTACAAAAGGATGGGGGTTGTAAACTCTCTGAGACTCTGCACTTTTCGCACGTGTAGCATCGTCAAGTGCTGTCTTATTACAGCCTTTGTAAGGAGAGGCAGGCTCCCCCTGGGGTGGGCTCTGCAGCTGCTCTATTTCCAGGCGTGTGATCACTGCCACTCTACAGATTCCCCAGCAGTCTGCTGTGTGTAACTCCACTCAGTTCTCCACTCATTCTTCCTCGTGAAGCAGGAGCATTAAAGTTTTAAGTATGGGCAAAAATCTGGAAAACTTAGGATCCTCCTCACACCCCGGGATTAGGGGACACAGCAGTGGCTAGGGCATCAGCCCCAGAACTGAGTGGGAAATGCCACTTGTATTGGCTGTAAAGAAATCCTGGCTTTGGGCTGGGCATAGTGGCTCAAGCCTGTAATCCCAGCACTTTGGGAGGCGGAGGCGGGTGGATCACCTGAGGTCAGGAGTTTGAGACCAGCCTGGCCAACATGGTAAAACCCCATCTCTACTAAAAATACAAAAAAAAAAATTAGCCAGGCATGGTAGCAGGCACCTGTAATCCCAGCTACTCAGGAGGCTGAGGCAAGAGAATCACTTGAACCTGGGAGGTGGGGGTTGCAGTGAGCTGAGATCATGCCACTGCACTCCAGTCTGGGCAACAGAGCAAGACTCCATCTCAAAAAAAAAAAAAGGCTGGGCGCGGTGGCTCACGCCTGTAATTTCAGCACTTTGGGAGGCCTAGGCAGGTGGATCACGAGGTCAAGAGATCGAGACCATCCTGGCCAACATGGTGAAACCCCGTCTCTACTGAAAATGCAAAAAATTAGCTGGGTGTGGTGGCAGGTGCCTGTAGTCCCACCTACTCAGGAGGCTGAGGCAAGAGAATCACTTGAACCCGGGAGGCAGAGGTTGCAGTGAGCCGAGATTGTGCCACTTCACTCCAGCCTGGCAGCAGAGCAAGACTCTGTCTCAAAAAAAAAAAAAGAAAAGAAATCCTGGCTTTCTTTAAGCCACAGACTTCCTAGGCTGTGGTCCGAGCTCCTTGTCTGCCTGGTCCCTGTCACCTTGCAGTGCCACCACCCCCAGGGGCTCTGCTTGCTTCCAGTGGCTTCTGTAGCTTTGGCAACTGGCAGATCTTTATGGCAGTAGAGGTGCCAGCATGGAGGATGGGGCTTGGGTTTATTACCCAACCCTCGAACGAACCAGCCTGTGGGGGCCTGGAGTAGAGCTGGTTTTGGGGAACCACAGGTGCGGGGGGTTCATCTTCTCCTTTCTCCTTCTCCTTTCCTGACTCCTCCGACAGCTTCCATGTTGGCCGTGGGTCAGGTGAATGGATGGAGCTCCGAGCGGGGCTCGGCCCGCTGGCCCGAGCGAGGCACACACACCTACAGCGTGGATCAAGCTCGCTCTCTCCAGCATCGCCCTGACCATTCCATGTGCTTTGTCCTAGCATGTTAATTCTTGACTTTCTCCACTTCATTTTACTAAAAAGTTAAATGCTTTAGGAATTTGTGGTGTGTGGCCACTGACCACCCCCCACCTCCTGCCGCTCCTCCAAGTTTGAGCTGAGATGGTTCTGTGAGTCCTTGGCAGGGGTCAGAGGGCACACCTCCTTGAACCTAGAAAGTCCCTACACTCTCAGAGGACGCCTCTCCTGTGGATTCAGCGCTGGGGCAGTGAAGGTGTCGGGAGCCAGCAGAGCATGGTGCGTGCTGCCAGCTGCCGGCCGGCCGGGATAGAGGAGATGCCACTGGCCCTCCGTGCCCCCAGCCCCTCCCTCTTAATCGAGGCTGCCCTTGCTCTCTGCAGAGGCCACTCTGCAGGATCCTCATGTCGCGCGTGACGTGTGGTGGCACAGCCGTGTCAAAGTCACAGTGTCTTTTCTGTCGTTCTAGTTCCAGGGTCACCCCCGAGAGGACAACAGGCATCTGGAAGTGCTCTCTCGCCACTCTGGGTGCTTACTGTCTCTGGCTTGTTTCCATCACTGGAAATCACTTAGAGAATTGTAGTGTTTTTGGTCCTTGATAAAGCCTAGAAGACATTTGTGATGTTACAAAATGGAAGTTTTCTTTTGTTTCTGTTTTTTAAGATCTAAGAAGTTGTGAATGTTGTTAATCATTTAGCCGTTGCAATAAATGTAGAGGAAATGCAGTGTGCCAGGGTCTCCATGGCTGTGTTTTTAAAATCAGATCAGTCACCAGCGCACGCAGATGGGAGTGCAGTGTAGAACCAGATGACGGCTGCCTCCCAGTACGTGCCCTCCGCCGGCATGGTGCTCCTCCCTCAGGCCCCTCCTGACTGGCTCGCCCCACCTGAGGGACCTTGTGTCACTGTCACCAGGAAAGCCTGGAAGATGCCAGAGAGCAGGAAGTGACCAAGCACCGGAGGGAGGGTGATTGGTACCGCCAAATACAGAAGCTGCCTTTGAGGGGTATCAGGGAAGTGGGAGCCATACCCCTGCTGCCTACGACTCACCTGTGGCCACAGGGCTTTGCCCCATCATCCCAGGGCTGGATGGGACAGCAGTTCCAGCTACCAGAGTAAAACCATGGCCTGCCTGGGCCTCCCTCTGACTGAGGAGCTGCCTCTCTGTCATCTTCATACTCCCTGCTGTCCCTGGGTGCTACCAGCCTGCCCATGGTTCCTCTGCCAACAGCCCCTTGGCCCTCCAGGTGAGGAGGGGCATGCAGAGGGCACAGCAGGGACCAAGCCAGCACCCAGGGGATCTGCAGGGGCCTCCGCCTGACCAAGGTGAGGAGGGGAGGAGCCAGACTGCACAGAGGGGGAAGGCGCTGTGCCCAGGGCAGGTGATGCTCATGTAGGAAGGTCCCTGTGGGCAGCTTAGCGGGAGCCTTGAGACAAAGCCCTTAGGAAGCTGAGGCAAGACCTCCAACCTCACTTCTGCTGTGCCCCAGGGGAAGCTGTTTCCAGCCAACACCCTCACCCTGCCTTCATCTTAGCGATGTCTAACCACTGGCTTCAGTGGCACTCCCCGAGAAAGGCCAGAGCCTGCAGGGAAAATGTGGGGCTCACCTGCAGGGGGTGAGCAACTGCCAGGAATTTCTCTTTCGTAGCGGAACCCCTCTTCCCCTAGCTCCTCTTAATACCGCCCTGAGACCGGTTAGGGTGTTAGGAGACAGGAAAAGGGGTGGCCTCCAACCCAGGATGCCTGTCCTGGCATTGACCCCAGGCAGGTCACTTGATCTCAGGCCTCAGTTTCCCCTCTGCAGACTGGGAAGGATCTCATTTGGAAGGTAAAATCTCCCCTGCTGCCTTGTACTAGATTAGTGCAAAAGTAATGGCAAAACTCACAATTACTTTCCCACCAACCTAATAATTTAGGACTAGCTGGAACCACAAGATGCCTCTCATGGCCTTTCTCTTCCCTGGAGCTTCCCTGGAGCAAGACAGGCAGAGGGCGCTGCGGAGAAGCCCCAGTAGCAAAAACAAGGAGTGGCTTCAATCCAAGCCTTTGCAGTGCGTGTATGCCCATGTACAGACGTGCACGCATGCATGTTCAAGCAGCACGCGAGGACTTTTTCCTTGTAAAAGATGAAAAACCAAACGAAGATGTATGCGGAATGGAGCACAGAGGCTTTCTCCTCCCATGAGTCAAATGACAGGACACACCAAGGGTGCCACTCGCAGACTGCCGTCCTCTCCCCACGGGCTGTCTCAGCAGTCTCCATGGCCCGTGGGAAAAGAACAGGTGTTGGGTTGCCTTCGGAGGATATTCCACGTGTAGACGATCATAGGCACAATCGTGTTTTAGATAGAACCTTTAAAATGCAAATTGTACTTCAAGTTCTATTCTGCTCCCTGCTTTTTTTCACTTAAAAAATTTCTGAGGCTGGGCACGGTGGCTCACACCTGTAATCCCAGCACTTTGGGAGGCCAAGGCGGGCAGATCACCTGAGGTTGGGAGTTTAAGACCAGTCTGACCAACATGGAGAAACCCCGTCTATACTAAAAATACAAAAATTAGCCAGGTGTGGTGGCACATGCCTGTAATCCCAGCTACTCGGGAGGGTGAGGCAGGAGAATCGCTTGAACCCCAGAGGCGGAGGTTTTGTTCAGCCGAGATCACGCCACTGCACTCCAGCCTGGGCAACAAGAGTGACACCCAGTCTCAAAAAAAAAAAAAAAAAAATCTGAAGCTGCATGTGGTAGCCCATTGCTTATAATCCCAGCTACTGGAGAGGCTGAGGTGGGAGGATAACTTGAGTCCAGGATTGGAGGCTGTAGTGAGTTGAGATTGCATCACAGTACTCCAGCCTGGGCAACCCTGTATCTAAGAATACAAACCTGAAATAAACTTACATATACATGTGTATATATGATGGTTTGTCATTTAGCTAACAGGGTCTCCACCCCTAGCCATTTGGGTTTTGGGCCCTACATCCTAGAATAGGCTTCTTTGTGGATAAAGTCCAGGAAATAGCATATGAGAACAAAGGGTCCTCCTGGGGGTCTCCTCACCTTGCTGCCTCCACACAGTTCATATGCCATCTAACTTTGGGGTGGCCCTGCTGATGCCCCATTCCCTGGTTTCTCTGCCTCTTGGGGACAGTGGGGGCTGCGGTTCCTTCAGGTGTCTCCGGCAGGCACTGGCCCTTAGGCTGGGCTCCAGCCTGACCCCCCAACCCCTGACCCCTTGGGATATGGACCTGACTGCTGACTCTCTCTGCCTCCTCCAGGTCCCTCAACTCTGTCCCTGTCACCCACACCCTGTCACTGTCCCCACCTTAACAGTCCAGGAGCCTGTGGTGGTTTAGAGTCACCATGTTCCCTGAGGGGCCCGGCCAGGCCTCTCTCTCCCCTGTGTCCACATACTACCCCAGTGCCCACTCACGGTGGAGGGTGGTGTCTTGAGGGCCAGAGATGTGCCAGCAACAGGGATGCTGTCACTGACCCTCTGCTCACAGTCAGTCCTCCCCCAGGTGGTCAAGCGGTGGGACTCTCCACGCCTCCATTTTCTCCAGTGAAATGCAGCCACCAGCTTGCAGGGTTAAATACATACGGTTACCCAGGACCTCTCTTAGAGGGTTCAGAGGGACTGGTCTTCTTATCGACTGATCTTTTCACATCCCACCCACTTGGGCCTCAGTTTTCCCTCGTGAGGATCCCCAAGCCCTTCTCAGCTCCCCCTGCCCACCCCTCCCTGGCCAGTCTGAGGGTGGGGTGGGCCCCCAAACTCGACCACATTCCACAAAGGAGCTAACTAGGGAAAGAGGGATAAGTTGTCATGAAGTCCCCCCACCCCCATATGTTTGGGGGATTAATCCCCCCCAAGAGTTTGGGGGATTAATCCCCATCATATGTTTGGGAGATTAAGGGCTGGGCAGAGGTAGGAGCTGGGGATGATTAGTGAATGCTGGGGCTGCAGCTTAGGCAACATAGTGAGACCCCACCTCTACAAAAAGAAATTTTTTTATTAGCAGGGCATGATAGTCCCACCTGTAGTCCCAGCTACTCGGGAGGCTGAGGTTGGAGGATTGCTTGAGTCAAGGAGTTGGAGGCTGCAATGAGCTATGAATGCACCACTGCACCCCAGCCTGGACAACACAGCAAGACCCTGTTGCCAACCCCCAACACACAAAAAAAAGAGAATTAAAGGAGCTCACAAAATTTCAACCTCAAGGCCCACAGCACAGACCATATACTGAGATAAATCTGATCGTCATTGACCTCTCTGGACTCCAGTGCTGTCATCCACGGAGGGTCAGCCCATTTCCCGATGGAAAAACTGAGGCCTGGTGCAGTCTGACTCCAGAGCTTGAATTCTAAACATCAGTATCTGGATTTCCAGCTGGTTTCATCTGATTTAGAAGCTCCCTATATACACACACTTGCGTACACATGGACACACCCTGTGCAACGCCATGTGTGCATGTGTGCACACATGCACATAGATACAGAGACACATGTACACGTGTGCACACACAGACATACACATGCATAGGTCTACACACTGCTTCTATTTCCCATGAAGTTCATACTCATGGCCCTGAGAACTTTAACACTCAGGAATTGCAGCTCTGTAATGACTGGCACTATCCACTTCCTTCACACTCCAGGAGGGGGACCTCACGAGCTGAGCTTTTCTTGGCTGGATTTTTCTCCAGCAATTCCTCAGGTTGGACTCACGGGAGCACCATCTCCCAGTTCCTGCATCTCGTGGCCAGGTGTGAAAAGAGGAGCCTTAGCCTTGAGATTTCAGCTTCCACATCTTCATGACTTGCTTTTTCCAGGAGCAAAGCAAACCTTAAGAATTTGAATCCTCAGTCCTAACATGTCCTCTCTGTGCTGTGTGACTTGGGGCGGGTGATCCACCTCTCGGAGCGTCAGCTTCCTCATTTGCAAATGGGGAGAAGAGTAGCTTCTACAGAAGGATGCTTAGGAGGAGCACCAGCGCACTGTGAGCTCAGACGTCGGCTGACCTGTTTCCATTGTTCTGCATCACTGGACCCAGTCCTTGAGGCATCCCATTGACTCACTCCTCCTCCTTAAAACAAAGGCCAGGGGCGGTGGCTCATGCCTGTAATCACAGCACTTTGGGAGGCCAAGGCGGGCAGATCACCTGAGGTCAGGAGTTCGAGACCAGCCTGGCCAACATGGTGAAACCCTGTCTCTACAAAAAATACAAAAATTAGCCGGGTGCGGTGGTGCACATGTGTAATCCCAGCTACTCGGTAGGCTGAAGCAGGAGAATCTCGTGAACCCAGGAGGCGGACATCGCAGTGAGCCGAGATCGCATCACTGTACTCCAGCCTGGGCAACAAGAGCAAAACTCTGTCTCCAAATAAATAAATAAATGAAATGAAATAAAGTTTCCTGAGTCCTTACCTAGACCCCGTGACATGATGGAAGGGCCTTGACTCCAAGGTCCTGGTCACAACGAGTGACTCTGGAAAATTCACTTCGCTCCTTAGGGACCCTAGCATGCTCATGTTAGAATAAAGATGCTCCAGGCTGGGTGTGGTGGCTCACACCTGTAATCCCAGCACTTGAGGAGGGAGAGGAAAGAGGACTGCTTGAGGCCAGGAATTCAAGACCAGCTTGGGCAACATAACAAGACCTAATCTCTATTAAAATTAAAAAAAAAAAAAGAAAAAAAACTAGCCCGGCATGATGGCACACGCCTATAGTCCCAGCT